GAAAGACAAAGGCATTTGTCTTTTTCCCGTGTATCTTCTCATGTATAAGCAGTAACTTGAATTTCCATTTTCTCCTGGTCTGTTTTTCTCTCCTCTTTGTCATTTGGGTTTCCTTATGCTGCTGGTGATGCTCCAAGTGATTGGGCTGGTGCATGTGGGTAGGGGTGAGCTGGTGCCTTGCTGGGACAGGGAGAGGGGATGGATGTCTCTGCTCTGGGCTGAATGAAAGTTGAGGAATATTTATCTTCACAGAAATATCTGCTGGTAGATCTGTTTTCCTTCTCCCATGGCAAAGTGCAGTTTCCATCTTTTTGTTCATTTTCTTTGATCGAAGCAAATATGGATTCGCTGTAAGAAAATAGGAGATTAACCTTTTGCTTTTGGAGTTGAGGTGTAAAGCTTTCCAACTGGCTGACTGAGCATGTCAAGCTCTCTACTCTCTTTTCTTTTGGCAGCTGGTGTGTGCTAACATACAGTTTAAAAATTAAAAATCTCAACTCCTCCTGCTGGTCTCGATGCACCTTTGCTCATGAGCTGGTTCCCTTTGTACTCCTTTCATTCTGTTTTTCTTGAGTGGGACTAATGATGCTCCTCCCTGTGCAGCCTTTCCATTTAGCTTAGCACGGTGGTTTAAGAGCTTAGTTTACTAGATAATTGAGTTTTCTGTTCTTAATTATTTCAGGCCTGCAAGTTGCTCTCTTGATAGTTAAGAGAGCAGGAGCAGAACCCTAAAATTTAGTAACCTCCCCAGGCAGTGGTTTTATAGAGAGATCATTAATTTTATTTTTTTTCCCAGGGGTTAACTTTAACAACATCCTGAGCAGTGTTCTTCCCAGTCTTTGGAATGGCTGTAGGATGTGTGCGTGTGACTGTAACAAACATGTATGGTGAGTGGGTGCCCACAAATTAACTCCATACTTTGATGGCAGTATTGTTGGTACAATTGTTAGGAGGAGACTCTTACTCAGTAAAACCTATTTTTCTCTGTAACTTCTTTCTTTTAAAAGATGCAGTTTTATAGAGTGTTGTATTTGCATGAGAATCATCTGGCCAACACTGCAAGACCTGGGGAGGAATCCAGAATCAGATGGCCTTGTGAAACACAAAATGGAATAGAAAATAAAGGATAATTAAGCAGTAATAAATATCCCATGTAGTACCCATACTGTTCCAACTTTAATCACCTATTGAATGGGGTTGGTTTATAATTTATATCCCTTTAATTAGGTTTTAAAAAGATCAGCACTCTAACCTGGGTTCTAAACAGTTGCATTTGCTTTCTCCCCCAAATTCTGAGCATTAAAAGCTAGTGACAGATGCACAATCCCCTAGTCAAATAATTTAAAAGAAGAGTTTTAATACAAAGTGTTGAAATAGCTGGGGGAAAATCCACTACATTTAAATGCTGAATCACTGCTTTTATCTATTTAAAGCCTGATGCTGACGATAAAACAATTGGTGGAGGAAAACTTACCAAAAAAAAAGCAACTTTCCTATGGGTAATATCAACCAGTTGGTGAGCTAAGAGGGTGGGATGAAGCCCTCTGATATTTCCAGACTGCAGATGGTGGAGTTGCCACGGCACAGGGTAGCAGAGCCCCCTCTCACATGGGGAGGAGGCTGCAGGAATGTAATGTTAAGCAGGGACAGGATCTTATTTTGACAATGCCTGGGGTAGATTCGGTGGGAATGTTAATCTGATTTAAACTGCCATTGGATCTGGGTGGGCAGGTTTGCATGCCCCAGTGGAAAGCACAGCTTGTATGCCTGTATCTGATGACAGGGTTGGAGCTATCCTGGGATGCTCAAAATCAAAGGAAAATCCTTCAGCCTCATGAAGGAGTTCACCACTGCCTGCAGATGATCTCAAGGGTTTCTTTTTTTTGACGTTTAATCCACTGAAATTATTTTCCCTTCTACTGTACTAACCACCTATCCGCGGGAATAATTGTACATCAAAGTCAAATGTAATGCTTTAAATTCTCTGCTACCCGGTCTTCGGTAAAAATTCCCTATTTCAGGAGGAGGAAGAGGCAGGGTGCTACTTATTACTGCAGCTCTAGAGTTTATTTCTGTCAGCTGGGAGTGTATGCGAAATTACTGGAGCATTTACACTGCTGTTCCCCAAGATGGCATAAATGGCACAGCTCTGATGGTGCTTGGCATTC